GCCTTTTCAAACGTTTGACGCGACGGAATATCCTGGCAGAACGACAGAGACTTCTCACAGCCGCTCGAAAACGAAGGGCTTTTCATGCGACCGCTGCTGTTAGCGGCTGCTAAATCCTTCTCCAAAGCATCGAACACCTCGAAATCTGCCCTGTCGATTATGATCACGTTGTTTTCGGTTCCCATCGTGTTTTCGGTCTTCGGCAAGTTATTGTCACATATCCACGTGCCGTCAACGTGAAACTTGAATTCGTGCCGTCCTTCAGGCAAATTGATGATTGTTATGAAATCGTCGTGACTTTTCACCAAAGGAATCTTCTTTTTCCATGCATCCCAGCTTCCACATATATTAACATGCTTGCCATTGCCTTAAACATCATTTCGCGATTAATAATTACACGCACAACGAAAGTTGTCATATTGCACACAACAACAAGAAACAGCCATCAAGCAAATGATATACTTAGAGATCATAAGGAAGTTATAATCACCTAGGGTCTTCATGATTGATGTACTAACTTAATATGCTACTTAAAATCAGCATTTATAGTCAAATTATAACCCATTAACAAATTTTACAGCACATTTCATAAAGTTAAAATTAAATTTATCCAAAAACTGCTAAGCAAATCTTCTTTCATCAATAAAAGTTTATCCATTAACTTCTTATAAATTCAGACTCATTAACTATGCATGCCGTAGTCCTTATCCAAGCGACCTTGTTCCAGACAGATCCTAGCATAATGTGTTAAGCTTTTCTTCTGTAACGCTGATTTACGAGCTTTCGCCTTCTGCATTGTACCACATGATAAAAGACAATAAGGCCAGTGATTCATCCTTGTACTCTTTGACTGTTTAGGATGTTGAATTTCATTATTTTTCTATATCTTGAACGCAGCTGCCTTAGGTATCACCCAAATACCTCTGCATTCATTCACCAAAGGATACAATGAAGATAAAAGATATATGACAAAAGTGGAAAATCAGGAAACTTGATATGGAAGCCAGAAAGGGTGATTAGCAATCTTTCTGTCAAAATCTACGACAGTTGCTAGTAAGCAGGCGACGACTCGCCATGCATTCCCCCACGATTCTAAAGCTGAACCTTTACCACGTCAACGGCATCAAATATGTAATAATTACTTTAATAGCTTGCCTCCAGATCGGTCGCTTCCGGTCATTAAGCACTGACCAACGCCGGAAATTAGTACAGATTCACCCATAAAACCAGATATCCAAAGTGCTGCGCTACATACAGAATCTGATACTGGCATGTCCGCCCAAATGGAATAAATGCTCAGGCAAAGGTAAAGAAGGTGGACGTTATCAAAGCTGCAATAAGGGGAGTAGAAAAATAGTCAAATGAAAGAAAACAAAAGTAAATAACAGGTATGTAAAATGTCGGTAAGAAATGAAAACAGAAAGGTATAAAGCGAGGAACAAAATTAAATCGAATTTAGCCGTGGCCTGCTTGAATAGTCCCAAGGCAGTTGGAAGCAAGGCAACAGTGCCATTATGCCGTTTCAATTCAGTGTGAAAAGAGAAATGATATTTCTCCTAGTGGCGGTATTGATAACTTACAGCACACTACCCAAAAGACTGGGATTATTTTTGCGTAGAAATAGGCTTACGGATCGTGGCATATCTGCAGATGTCTGAACAGGCCTTTGTTCAGCCCTGCCTAGTGATATGGTTTTGCATCCATGCATTGCAAGCGCTCAAATGCCATGGAGCAGTAACCTGCTTCAATGGTCCCTTAGCCATCTAAAAGCAAGGGGATAGTGCTATACGCTGTTACAATCCGGTATCAAAAGAGAAAATGTTAAATCGAATTTATTTTTTCATTTTTAGTACACGATGATTTCGGCTAGAGTTAAGTAACTGCATCGATTTCGTTTAACTCTGAAATGCAATCATATCTCAGTGCATGGCTGTGACTTTTGGGGAGACATTCGACTGTCAATTTCAAATCAAATCAATAGCGCAATTACTGAGGGTTATACTAGACACGCGTTTAAAACTATCAGAAATTTAGGCCACCCTGTTCCATGTTCATCGTGATGCTGTACCATTACTAGCCAGAGGGCGATACAACTGTTTTGTCACTGAATGATAATCATTGTGTTCTCCATTAATACGAACGTCGGAAAGCAAGAACAGCCAAATTGCAGCTACTTCAAGTACAAAACTTTATGAGGGCCAAAAATTGAATTTATCAAGGGGAAACTCTAGACAGATTTGAAGAAAAAATCTGTTCGCTCCAGTTCCGCAATGAGTTTTGAAGACTTAAAATATCTGTTTGCACGTCCGATACGATTACTGAAAATCACGACCTATTAAGTCGAAACAAATAAAGATAAAACATGTAAGCGACGAATGTCATTCGCTACTGTCCGCAATTTGTCACTTCGTTTCTGGAAAAGTTCTGGAATAAATTCACTAAGTGTAAATAAAACAAGCTGACTGTACAAACCACCACAATCGACTGAAGGGTTTTCCCTTATCCCCTACAGATAACCCTCATGCACGGTTGCAGGAAGCATAAATTTTTGACCTTGGCTTAAAAAAACAAACTTTCGTTGCATTTGCAAGACAAGAGTCCGTTATAAGCTTTACCTTGAAATTCTACTAACGACACTAAACCGATAACAGACGAAAATCTAGAGAACATGACATCACTGTTGCCACCTGAATGATTATCACCGGAGAAATACAGCGTAATAAAGCCATTCACGAGTAATACTTCATATCATCTTCCCTCTGAATGAATGTTGGTATTTATTATTGTTACAAAGGCCGTAAGGACATCTG